ACTTGCTCAAAGTGGGTTGTAAGAGTCAAAATTGTGTTTATCCTTGACATTTGCATTGACAGTTTTAATGGATAGTGGACCAAAGGAATGTTTGTATCCGTTTGACTTACATTTGGAAACCCTAAAACGTTTGCCAGAAGGAAGAAGTTGATATTCAGAGTTGAGGATGAGGGAAGGATCTGATATCATTTTTCCTCCCTGTTTGATTATGGATTTTTCAAAGATTGTCTGCAGGGAGGGATGCTGTTTCACTCTGGATCTTCACACTCTGGACCAAAAAATAATGACAGGTCCTCCAGGCGCTTCCACAGGTCAAAGACATACAGTACCAGTAGATTGATTGGCTTCTGAGTAAATTGGCCCTGGTGTGAGTGTGTTTCTGACTGTGTGTGCCCTGCAATGGACTGGTCTCCCATCCAGAATGCACCCTGCCTTGCACCCATGTGTTGGCTCTCTCTCTGACACTACCCCATGTTGGGTAAAGTGGACAGAAAATGGGTGAATGAACGAACTGTAAAGTATGAGCCACGGGGCACAATGTGATCTATATGTGGAAGTGCATTTAAAACCTAGCACAGGAGGCACTTCTTCATCCTAAGGGTTGTGGGAGTATAAAACTAGCTGTTCGGCCATGTTGCTAAGGCTGATACCCTGGCTTCTTTCAAGAAAAAGCTGGATAAGATCCTTAACTATTAACTGCCATGCAGACTGCATTGGCCAAATTGCCACCCTCTATCTTGAAACCTTATTTTTTATCAGTAAATTACTCTCAGCATATCTGCATGCAAGTAAATGAAACTATATTATCAATATCTGAAAGGAGCTATAGTAAATAATGTAGTAAATAACAAAGTTAATAAATTACACCACATTGGGTAGGGTTGCCTGATTCCAGACAATTCTTATTTCGGAAATACATTTCTCAGCACCTAAAGTAAATGAATGTATCAGAATTTGTTAGAGGTTTCTCCTGTGAAGGACATTATGGACTCATCTATTAGCAGACTTTCTATTACGTTCCTGAAAAATGAGGTCTTCTAAAAACAATCTTCTCGCTGTCATCTATCATTGCTCTCTCATTTCTAATCTGTCATCATCCATGGCAAGCAATTATGTGTGAAATCCCTGAATGATATTTATGGGTACCGTACCAATATCAAGAATAGAGAATCAGTTAAATGAGATATTTTACATTACAATTTATAATTCGGCACACAATTCAGGCACCTCCTGTGTTATTCATGTCGACAATAACCATAAGCAATATCAAAAGGCTATAAACAATGCCAATAAATGACCATTTTAAACTAGTATATTGCTTAATATATGTTCAATGTGGAAATTATTTCTATTGTGTACCATAGGCCTGTGTTCGTGACTGGAATGACATTTTAGTGTCAGTTTAACTCCTTGTTTTCCTCATGTAGAGAGCACAACCATGCTGCAGACAGACTTACCTGATGCTGGAATAACAATACTCCAATAACATAATTAATCATTTTTTAAAGGAGGTCCTGATCTTACCTCTTACACTGCTTTTTTCCTGCTCCTTTTTACAGTTTCGTTTCTTTTCAGAGCAGCTGTGAAGTTAACTATAGTTAGTGGCCAAACCTTCTTGTGTAGATATATTACTTTAGTACCCAGTTGCATTACTAGAGATAAAAAGGACAACTCCTTACCTCCTTTAGCAGCAAAGACATCTCGCCAAATTGCTTTAACCCATGAAAGAATGAAAGGTCAGATGCTCTCTCAAAAGCAAGAATATAGACAATTCAACACAGGCCGGGAATGGACGATGTTGGCAGATGTAGGCCCCATCAGAATTGTTGATACCAACCAGTCCAACTCTCTATGTCTTGTCTACTTTGTTAAACTGACGGTACCCTGGGAGGCTCTGGTGAATGAGGCATATGAGAGGAAGAAGCTACCGTATGACAAGTTAGCAGCTGAAGCAGAATGATGTAGAAAAGTGTGGGTCTGCCCAGTAGACCAGAGGATGTTTTGCAACATCCACCACCAGGCTGCTGAAGGAGCCTGGAATCTGTGGCAAGTCTATCTGGGCTGTTTCAGAAGCTGCAGAAAGAGGTAGCCAATGGCTCTGGCTGAAGAGGAGAAACCCCTGCTGTGCCCCAAAGTAAGTTGTGAAAAGGCTGGACGGACATAGAGGTGGGGAGTTCTGGGAGCCCAAAACCTCTGTTGAGCCTTCTGGAGGTGTTGTGCCCTCATCAACAACACATTGATGATTGAAGGTGCCCCCACTTGAAAATCCCAATGACATGTCAGCACCCCAATCCCCCAATTCTCACCTTATGACAAGACCAGTGAAGTGCTCCCCATCTCTTAAGGGATTGTACTATTAAGTCCTACATGTCAGAATTACCAAGTGAGTTGCCGTCCAGTGCCAGTAGCTTCGTGGATATACACATGGGGCCTGAGTTTTCAATACTAGCTTTGCTAGTGAATGTTTGCGTTTCAGTTACAAAATAAAGGTACAAAATGGTCAAATCAATTGGAATTTAAAAGAAGAAAGGGGAAAAGCACACTTGAACATACTGAGCACCGAAAAGAAATGTATTGTACCATTTATAACTGCAACAAATTCACAAATTTGTTATCAGGACAAATGAGAAAAAATGGCAAGTGCATTGTTGTTTTATTGAACAGACGTGGCACAGGTAAATTCATTACGCTGGTTAACATTTGTCATCCGCAGGGGGTCTATTGAGAAAGTCACAGGCTGGCAGTGATATGGATACTGTTAGAAGCAACATAAGCTGTACATCTGTGATGAAAGCTGTTTACTCTGAAGTGTTAGACTTGAGAAACAATGTATTAAAATAGCATTTTGTTATTTTTAATATTTTAATAGTTATAATAAAATGTATACAAATACATGTTATGTCATTATTAAATGCAATAAGAATTTTCATCATCCATAAAGTTGACTTGAATGTGAAAGAATAGTCTGCCTTGTTATCTTATTTAACAAGGTCACAAATTAAAGGCTTTCTAACTTTAACTGAAAGCTGGCACACTTTATCTGAGGCATTAGATTCTTGTACAACTAAATGAAAAACATAATAGATTCTGTTTTATTCATGCATTTTGGTACTGCCTATATAGTATGTTGTATTTGATGCTATGGTAATTCAATAGTGTACACTTATACGGGCGGCACTTTTAAATGCCAAGCCAATTTGGCGCAATAGTGTGATAACGTTTATGAAAACACCCGTTTATGTTTTTGAAAAAATAAAAGTTGAATACAAAACCTATACCTATAACCTATAAGTTGAATACAAAACGATCTGCAAAACTAAGTCTCCTTGACCTCTATAACCAGCATAATCCACGGCGACAACGTAAGAACAGCACGTACTGTACAAATAACATTGATAATAATCATGAAACAGTACAAACATGCAGTCCATATACTTTAGGGCGATAGCATTGTCAACAGTAGAATGGAAGGGGAAGGAAAGTTGTATCACGCAGTCAGGTGATTTAATTTTTAAAAAAGGCATCTTTTAATTTTAAATTGTATTATAGCGAAAGAAAGAAGAAGAATGTTTAATCAAATGCCAACGTTTTTGCAAAACTTGAAAGATCTGCCAAACACTACACACTGAGCTACTGCAAAACAGCAGTTCCCTTCCTCCACCAATGAGCAAGTCGCTCAGTGGGATCGGATCTTGCGTTATGAATATAGGCGGTGCCAGTGAAGTGGACCGACCGAAGCTACTGTATCCACTTCCGATATTCAGCCCACCGCGTTAGCTATAACTTGCGTTTCTCCGGTTCCTTTCTAGAACAGTGCCGCGCATTAGTCAACGGGTCTGTTTTAATTTCCTCTGCCGAGCCAAAACGGCCCAAACCGTGCGCGGCCCGACCCGACGCGCAGGCGAGTGTGGTCTGATGGCGTGTTGGGGGGCTCGTTCTGCGTGATTGGTGATCTCTCCGGGTCTGGCGATGCGACGCTGCCTGTGGGCGGCGCTGAGGATGGTGCCCTGCGAGGGTCCTGCTGCCGCGAAGCCGATCGGCACGCTGCGGGTCCGGGAAAGCGGAGGAGCAGCGGGCGTGTTCGGTGGGCTGCCAGCTGTTGCCGTTAATTCCTTCTCGAGGTAATGAAGTATGAAAGTTTGAGCGTTGAGCACGCAGGCAATTGTGCAATTCTGAGTCTAGCCACCTTCCTGAGCACTCGGTAAATCTCTTTTTTTTTTCTCCTTGGACAATGCTGTAAGTACTGTTGTTTAAATCAATTTTCTTCTGGAGTACGCCAGTCGTGATTTTATTTTATGGTGCCTATGACTGTAACTCTGCGGTGACTGGGATGTGAATACATGTTTTCATTCGACCTGTTTTGATCATTACAAAGGTTATTTAAGATTTTTCCCCTTTCAATCTTGTATAGGTATCTCTGATCAGAAATTAGCATAGACGCAGCTGAATCCAGCTTTAGAAATAGAAAGTGGCACACAGCTTTCCTCGGCTCACGTTGTATATAAAATAAAACACGCCTTCAACATCATCAGGTCTGCGCGTTTAAGGATACGGTGAAGTTTTGAGCACTGTGTTCAGAAATGTGTAAGAAAAACGCCGTGTTTCCGTGTTTTCAGAGGTTTTGGAGGATTGGGAATGCCGGAAATTAGCACAGATAACCTGGACGAGAAGCAGGTACAGCTTCTGTCCGAGATGTGCATCCTTATTGATGAAAACGACCGGAAGATTGGAGCGGATACCAAGAAAAACTGCCACCTCAACTCTAATATTGATAAAGGTATATTCTTTTTTTATTTAATCATTCTCAACCTTTTAATACGAACTGCTCTGCAAAAAAACAAACGATTAAGCTCACACTTAAGGAGTTTCCTTATATATAGTTATAGTTGTTTGCTATCTGCGTGCGATTCTCGGTCACTGTCATCGTCACATTATTTCACATGCTAAACAGGTTGCAAGCGGTGCGCATTTAAAATCAGTATCACGCTTGTTAGATATTGAATATACGCTCATCTAGTTACAGTACATATATGCATACTGAATAAGCATTAACAGCAGAATCCAGAAGTTTCCTAATTCCAATTATTGGACACATTTTTGCAGTTAAATATAAACTATTTAGACCCCCACCTGCTCTGTTACCATTTTCATTGTATAATGCAGAGACACTGCATTATACACTCATGGAGCAATAATTGCATCTTTTTTTCTGGATCTCACTGGGAACCCTTAAAGATAGAAAGGTCTCCAGTGGAAAATTTCCTCTTTAAACAAAGTGCTCATACGTTTATGTGAACACTGGACCTTCTAACTACCCTTTGTAGCTGAAAATACGTTTCTATGCCTTGGTGGCCTTAACAGATCTTCAAAGTCACGAATATGTCAGTTATTGCTTAGTTACAGGAGTGTGAACTTAAGTGGTGTTTAGATGATGATGAACTTAAGGTAAGGTCAGGGAGCAAACATTATGAGAAAATTAAACCTTTAATAAAAAATAAATTAAAAAGTTAGTCACGTTTACTTACTTGATGTTTTTTATTTCACTTAGGAGTTTAAGAAACAAAAGGTTTTCAGAAATACACATCATACATGAATTATTTTTTTCCCTAGGTCTTCTTCACAGAGCATTCAGTGTGTTCCTGTTCAACAGTGAGGAAAAGCTTCTGCTGCAGCAAAGATCTGATGCAAAGATCACTTTTCCAGGTGCTGTTTTCATTTAAATCCATGATTCTGATCTGTAGATGCATCCAACTCAAGGGTGTAAGGAAAGAACAGTTGCTTACAAGGAATACCATAGAGTTGAATGTGTTTAAATACACTACCTTTTAACTCAATTTCCTTATATCTCAGAAGTAAAAGAAGGCTGTGCCTGGTCAATATTGTGAAATGAGATTCCTCTAAGAAAAGCCAGGTTGCTGGCTGTAAGTGGTATTCGTGGACTAGTAGGTGGCAACATTTCCAAAGCAGTGCCCAAGTATGCTACTGAAATATCCCTAAACAATATGGACATTACTCAATGTGTAGGGTAACAGATCTACTGGATAAATTCCCTAATACAAGAAATTGTATATAGCCAATAAAGTGATCTTATCTTAGGCAGTTCTGTGGTAATTGGCTTTAGATACTGCTTAAAACAAAAGTTTTCCGTAGCCTAAATGCCTATAACTTTGCAAAATATAAACCGGGAAAGTAAGCCTTACTTAACATTTTAGAACCTTAAGATTTGGAGTGTTGTTTTTTTAACCCCTTTAGGAAAACTCTATAAAACTGAGGTTCTCAACTCTTGGAGATCTCCGTTTGTGGTTTTTTTTTTATATCCAAGCGAGGTCTTAATCACCAGTACTAATTAGCTTTAATTGATCTGCTTGCTTGAATAGACATATGGTTCCTCTGTTTCTGCACTCAGTCCATATTTGGAGAAGCACCTGCTTCATGCATCAGCATACGGAACCTAAAAGCAGCCCGTCTTCCTCATTTTGTTTATACTCAGTGTTTGACAATTTGGGTACAACTTTACAATCATATTTTGCCAGCAAAAAAAAAAAAGTCACTTGGTAGACCTGCGTTATGAGGCTGTTGTGTTATGTGCAGGCTGTTTCACAAACACGTGCTGCAGTCACCCTCTTCATACGCCTCGGGAACTGGAAGAGCAAGATGCTATTGGAGTCAGGCAGGCAGCACAGCGGAGGCTACAAGCTGAACTAGGAATCCCCATTGAGCAGGTAACAGTGATTCGAGAAGGTGGGCAGTTTAAAGTAGGTGATGACTCTACCATTTCTTTCTAGTTCATTACTATTCACACGAGAATCACTGTAACAGTTCAAAATTTGCAAAAGAAAATGTGTATCTTAGAACTCTGTGGAGTTAACAGTAGAAGAGCCTGGATTTATGTGTCCTGACACATTGAGGGCATACTGGATGTCACATTATGGACTTTGGAGGAATAATGGGTACTGTGGGCAAGCTGCTCATCTAATTGCACAGTGAGTGAACAATGGAATACTAGACCCAGTGAAAAGGTTCCCAGCCAGACACATTCTGTGTTAGTCTGGCCATCCTTGATGATCAGATTGTTGGGGTGTGTAAATCTGATCACCTCAACTTCAATGCCCACCATTTTTTAAATCTTGTAAAACGGTTTAGTAATGTAGATTAAATGCTGAATTAAATGTTTATTACAAAATCAAGGTAGGCTTTCAAGGTGGCTCAGCTGGTAAAGACATTCACCCAAATGCACACTGAGCTCTAGGATCCCAGCTGTGAGCCTGGATCAAGTTACTAGCTGACCGTAACCAGGATTGCCCAAGTGGTGGGGTGCAGTTGGTTAAATGCTGCGGGGGAGAGGTTGTGTTAATTTGGTCAGGGATCTCACAGCAACACAGTGCAGCCTCCCAGGCATTTGCAAACATGCAGTGCTGTTGATGAGGGATGGACCTCTGCTCCAGTCAGCGCTGAACCTCCAGTATAGGGCTGTGTTACCCACAATGTGCTAAAAGAGAAATATCACAGTAGGAGTCTGGCTCCTCCTTATTCTCTCCTGTGTGCGGTCACAGGGTTTAGAGTTGCAATCTGATGCATGAAACACATTCAGCTGGCAATTTTAAATCAGGTGGATGTAACAAAAATAAAGAGAACTCGGCATATTAAATTGACTTTCAGAAAATTAACTAGTTTTGGTATAGATACATATGTAAAAAGTGCCTTGTGTTTAGAATGCCAGCCTCACACTACAGGACTTTTCCTACAATTTTTAGTCATAACCTTCACTTACATAATTGTAAGAAAATCACAGCAAGTTGTAGAAAGTTGCAGCGCGCGCCCATTACCGTCAGTTGTGTAGTATGGCACCCCAAACGACTCAGTCATAGCGCTCTTAACAGCCCCTACAACTCTTACGACAATCAGACTGTGCCCATTATATTACACGTTATAGCGCAATACTATTTTTTTTACAATATTTCTTATAAAGGTGTTTTATTTTTGTAAATTTGTTCTATAAAGAAGAATTATTTTTGAAGATGTTTATTTGTGGAAAAGAAGGCCTGTGTTACATTTTTCAAGATGTTTACGTGCTTGTTCTCCATGTTTGTTTAATTTCGTGTGGTGCTCCTCTTCATATTCCGGTGTGTTTCACATGGATTGACTGCCAGAATGAGGCAACCTCGCAGTACTATCGTGGTGCAATCCAAGATTTGAAACCGTGATGAAAAGTCATGAGGGAATATTGTAATATATAATTCTACACCCTCTAGGACAGAAAAGGCAGCGAGATTCAGCAACTACAGTCGTTAAATTTGACATGCTCTCCGACTAGAAGTCGTGTCTAGTCCTGTAGTGTGACGCTGACATAAAGCACGCTTCATCTTGAAGGATACAAAGCTGTTTCATAAGTCAAATCATATATAATCTGTTCAGTTCAAATGTTAAAAGTCAGAAACAGCTTGGACACCTGGTTTAGAATCTTACTTTTTTTTTTGTAAAGCACCATGGTATCTTAAATGCCAGAGGATGTTAGGGCCGTTTTCATCTCTGAGATGGCACTAGTGGATGCCTTCCATCCACGTTTTGACTAGTACTGTTTTCACTTCTGAGATCGTAAAGTAACCATGAGAGAACAAATTGGTCTATTACAAATAACACTTTACTAAATGATTTCATGATAGATTTTAATTTTGGCAGGTACCACCTGAAGAAATGACCTATCTGACCAGGATCCATTACAAGGCCCAGTCTGACGGAATCTGGGGAGAGCATGAGATCGACTATATTTTGTTTATGCAGAAGGATGTGGACCTCAGCCCTGATCCCAATGAAATCAAAAGTCACTGCTATGTAACTAAGGAGGAGTTGAGAGATATGCTGAAGAAGGCAAAGAACAGCAAGCTGAAGATCACCCCCTGGTTCAGTCTTATTGCAGAGACATTTCTGTTTGAGTGGTGGGACAACTTACACAAATTAAAGCAGTTCATGGATCATGACAAAATTCATAGGTTGTAAAATGAAAGAGCACCAGTGTTTCTAATTGTACAGAACCTGCCTTTGCACATATGACTTTTTGTAGAAGTAGAGCACAGAAAATAAAAGTTCTAGAAAAATGCACACATTTCTAATACTGGTTTGATCATTTTATGTATACCTGAGCCACTGAGTACTTCTCTTCCTACTGCAGTGTTGCTTACCATGTGAATTTCTTCCTTGATAAGATGTTATTTACGCATTGTTAGGTAAAAAGTTTAGAAGCTGTATTCCTTTAAATGAGGGAAGCTACATTTCGGTGTAAGCTTCTGAATGGAATTCATTACAGGGAAAAAGTTACCAAGTAAATTCTATTAAATTAAGTGTGTAATACAAGTGCTGTATTATCCCTCTGTTAAGGTGATTGCTTTGCTTTAATTAGAGCTCATAAATGTCTTGGATAAATTTACAGTACTCTACATGACCTACAAGGTAGAGTCTCTCCACAACTAGGTAAAGGACAACAAACACTAATTCTCTGACTTACCATAAATATTTTATTTGCAAAGTGGGTAATAACTCAGCCTCACCTCATACATGAATAAGTTTAATATTCTATCAATTTAATAACATAAGATGATTAATAACCCCCATTTACAAGTATAAATGGAGTACAGTAGCTAAATATTAAAATATATGGTAAATTATAGCTACCATAAGTGTACGGTAAATTCCTGAAGTCTATACTATAAAAAATGTAGAGCTGTCCAAATGTGGGCCATTTTTTTAAGTTAGTGGCTTAAAGTAGACACCAGGACCACCAGATGAAATAGTAGAGATAAAGATATAGGGACATTTTTTAAAGACGCACCTTCTGTATTAGAAACACACATTTATTTGTCAACTCCCAAGCAACTCTGGATGTTACTCAACTAACAGTGGAAAGATCAGTCTTTTCATTTGGTTCTTTCCTGTCTGCTTCTAGGTGGTTTGGACTCATTTCTCCATTAGCTGATCTGGAAAAAGTTTTGAAGTTGAACTTGCTACGACATGCATAGCTCAGCAGACAGAGTATCCTTTTTTACAGTATATTGTTTAAAAGTATTTCCCCCTACGATTATGTAGATCATTCTCAATCTGACAAACAGATTCAATGCAGGACAAGAGTCTTAACTTTAAATTTTACTGAAGGAAAAAAAAACAACCAAACATTCAAAACTTCAGTGATGCCTTTTCACATAAAAACAGCCTGATGGTAGAGATTAATTGACACCTCTGCTGCAGAGGACCCTCCTTATCTGCGGTCAGTGGTGCCTGATTTTCTCTTGCCTGCCAGAAGGTGTTTAGGTTTGAGGTCAAACACATGTCTATCAGACTCCCCTTTCTTGCCCATGCGATTCATCTCTTTCTGCGAGTTCTTCATTAACATCTTGGCTTTCTTTAACATCTGAAAAAAAAAACACGGTTACTTTCAATACTAGCACACAGACGAAGCAAGGCTCAAGAACCGAGGGCAGCTGCTTTTCGCTGGGGCTTTCAAATAGCCTTTACTGACTAAAATAAAAAAAATAAAATGTAAATTTAATCTGCCAATTTCACACTCCTTGCACTAAAAACATGATTATTATGAAAATCCAATTCAGCATGTCAGAACTTGCTATTTTCATAACTGACATTATTCACAATCTCAATTAAAGATTGCCGCATATCCCAAAGTGCCTTGCCTCTTATGTATTCTGAGCACTTCCAATAAAACGAAAAGTTTCCAGTACAAATTAAAATTCTCCTTTCACGTTCATTCATCTACAGAAAACCACAACCCTTTCTAATTCCTCATGTAGTACATGCTTTTACATTTCCAAAGTTAATTTAACATCTTATCACACTAATTTTAGACAGGAACTAAAGCTTTCCTTATGAACTGGTGTGTCAAAACAGGCATCGAAGACGTACCTTGGCATCACGAACACCTGAAACATCCCTTGGAGGACGAGAGGCACTCTGACTACGGGTTCGAGATGCAGGGGCCTCAGATGCCTCCCGTTTGCGTTTCCTAGCAACACTTCTAGATCTTCGGCCCTGGATAGCGTAGTGACTCTGGAAGAAGTTTGAAAAGAAATTACCACAGCTTTCCATTTTGATTCAGAAAAATGTTTATACTAATTTTCCTTAAAATTATATTAATAACATGACTCATACGTTGTACGTTATATACAGGTATGAGCAGGACAATGTTGGAGAGATTTAGATGGGCTTTGAGCCCTTGTATTCTTTTTAAAATTGAAAAAAGTCACTTGTCAGAAAAATTCAAAAGTGACTGTTGTTGAGAAATGTGAACCACTGCAACTAACTACGTTACTTCTCAATCTCATTGGAACAGCCAAAGACCAACTGAGGACACTATGTGCAAAGTTACTTACATTATCTTTATCAGTCATGTCCAGACCAAGATTTCCCATCTCCTTTTCAAGGGTTTTTCTTTCAACCTGGCATAAAAAGAACAAAACACATTGTTGAGGAACTATTATTGAAAACTACAAGGCATCAGTTCCAGTCTAATGATACAACTAAGTAAAAGGAAAGTCACTGCAGAAGCCACCTGATGAAGTGGCAGACAATCGGCACTGTCAAGGTGCCTAGACAGTAGAGGAAGCGAAAAGACAGCAGGTTCTTTATTTTCACCATTTTTGTGGTTCTGGGCATGCGTGGCCCATGTACATCCTTCTCTCTCGACTCCAGGATTTTCAATTTCTTCTTCTCTTTGATTTGTTTGGCCAGCTGACGGATCTCCTGCATCTCCTCATCTTCGCTTTCTTCATCCGAGTCGTATTCTCCTGCCTTCTCTCTCAGTTCCTCTTCCTTTTCCAGCTCTTCCAGGTTCTGCATGGTGGTGAAAGCAAGAGAAAAAGCCGATACAAAATGAAGTGGCAGCCAAGCACTTGGGAAACTCCATTTTCCTTACTGCACCAAAGAAAAGCTCTAGTTTAAAAGCCATCAAAGCTAGACTCACCTTCATGATCTCAGGATCAATGTAATCTGTTATATTGTGGCCTTCCCATATTTCTGGGACCTTATCGTTCTTCTCATTTGCATTCATCAGGTCCCAGTATTCTAAAAATATGTCAATAGCAGCCATTAGTAATATTACACACAAAGCTCTGTCCACGGTAATTTGTGTAATTTTCCCAAACCACTTTCATGGTAAAAATGTACGCAATATCATTGTTTTTAGAAGTTCGAGAAGGTAGCTGCAGATGAACACCTTGTAATGCCTGACATTCTTTATCTGCCAGTTTCCCTCTCTCTCTCACACCTGAAGAAGGCTCCACAGATGAACCGTTTTGTCCGTTTTCTTTTCCTTTCAGCATGGAATAAACCTCTACCTGTTCCTTATCCTTCTTTTGTACAACTGTATGTACTGAGTTGCTAGATAGATATCCCATGATAGTTCCACTCTGAGATTCCTGTTTAATTAAAATAGTCTTATCTCTGAAGCTGAGATAATTGATGGTCTCTGACATGTTTTATATTTTTTAAGATCCAAGGGAAATAAGTAAAATCTAGAAATTTTCAATGTGTGCTTTTATATCCTACAATATGTCCAAGTCACCATTTACCAGTCCCTCTTCTTATGTTTTTCCATTGGCTAGCCATTTGATCTTTAAAACTTAATATCACTTATGGAGCAAGTACTTAAATAGAATATGTGGAATTTAAAACATTTAAGGGGCATTTCACAGTGGACCAGTGCACATTAAACCTAACAGCATTGAACAGAACACATTTTCGATGTGCAGATCCTCTCGTTTTCATCTTTTTATGATCAGAATATAATGGTTTAAAGTACAATATTTATATTTTAATGTACCTAACGGTGATACAGCAGACCACAATGACAATGCATCTGACCAGGCCAGGATAACAGGACTAAATACTCTGTACATAGGGTTGAGGGCTCCTACTTTTTACTCCCACACAACTACTTGCTTTTAAGCATTTGAGGTTTTAACAATCAAATTAATGTGGTTTATTAATATTAAAATCGATTAATGGGTAAGAATGCCAGTGAATACAAAAGGGAAACTAACCCTGAGTGTCTCCAGGCTGTTCTTACACTCTCATTTACATAGAGAGTAAAGCATGTTTCTTTAAAAATGTGTTCATCAGTCATCTGATTGAATTATGACAACTTTACAAGCTGAAAAAATTGTGATAAGCTGAAAAAAAATCTAATCAACCAGACTTAAATTCTCTCTACATTACATTTCATTATTTAGCATAAGAGCTGCAGCTGGACTATGCATACTGGAGAGAGTAACCCTGACTTTCCACATTTAAAGAAAGATAGAGCTCTATTATAACAGCTTTGGAAACTCATTTTGAATTATGCATATGTAAAACATAATATGACAAAACAAATGCGATTATTACTTTGACGTGGTTTTGTAACCCATAAAGATAAGGTGGGTTTCAAAATAAAAATACATGCATAAATTCTATTGCAAGGAGCACTGCAAGGCTTTGTTCTCAATTACACTTTGATGAACAGCTGCAAAAATATTTTGATATAAGGAACTAAAAGCAATTTTGCAACACTTACTCTGCAGGTCCAGGACGTAATCGTCACCAAGTTCCATCTCGAGATCTCTCTCCTATTAAAACAAAGCCAAATTTATGCATCATATTCCCAGAGAAGGACTTCATGCATTTTACATTACATCCTTCTGGAGAATAAAGAATTCCTTGGAATGCTAGTAAACGTTTAATTCATTTTTCCATTTCATCTAAAATACCCACTGAAATATTATAACACCTCATAACGACTCTGAAGAAAACTAATTCTAAAAGTCAATGGAAAGCGACTTCTGTAAGCCTCTAATAGGCATATTTTAACCCATCAGAATCACCAGTTTTCCCAGATGGGCCCCTTTCCCAAGAAATCATGCACAACATGTACATCAATTTAATGTAATCAATTCATACCTCTGGTTCTTCATATTCTTGTAAGTAAAAACTCAATACTTGTAAAGCCCAAAGTAAATTAATGGTGTCTGTTTTATTGGTTTCCCTGCTACTTTCACACTTAGTTATTGTAATAACATAAATATGTCTCGCTCCATCACGTCCAGCAGCCAAACGGAACACGCACAGAATAAAGAATGCAGGGCAATACAGCACTGCCACAGCCTGGCAAATTACGGGACATAAATTCCAGAGTACACATGGGCTATCCTCAATAGATCCCTGGGAAAACATCCTGTGACAACTAGCAACAGATCATGTGCTGGGAATGGACAGCAATCCTGTACGTCGGGATTGTTGTTTTGTTCTCTAAATATCGGAGCAGCAATTCGTCTCCGATTTTCCCAATGAAATGTCTAGTAACAGAATAAACAGGCTCTCGAGCAAGGCATGGAGAGCTTTCTACTGTCACCTGGCCACATGTACTTCTCATATATCAAATTTGCATTTTTCTGCTTCAATCAGTAATGGACAGTAAGAACTAATTTATTTAGAAATTCTGCACAGCGCATTCCATGTACAATACATGCTACAGTGCGTAGTGTATACATTCTGAATTATAAGGACACTTACCAGTTTGCGTTTAGGTACATCAACATCCATTGCTTTCCTGCGAAGTAAAGCCCCTTCAGGTATGAAAGGTGGTCTTTCCTGTAATTTAAATGGTACAAACTGAAATGACAGTACAGGACACTACTTTTTCAGAAACATTGAAATCTGTGAAACAGCACTATTCTCAGTGCTACTGCAAACATGTCGAATTTTTCAACTTGACCAATTCTACAATTAAAATGAGAAACTGAGCAGTTCATCCTTATATCGTACCTTTTCGTCTCGTTTAGCAGGCACAGCTAAATGCAGTCTGTTCAGCACATCATGTACTTTCTTTCCCTTCATCTTTGCATCAACACGATGGGCAAGCAATTTATCACACGCCTGAAATGGACAATACAACAGAACAATAAAAAAATGAATCTTCTGCCCTCTAACAGATGGTTTATTTGAACTGTAAATGTTCACATCCTGACCATGGAGCACAAAAGAAGTATTAAGTCTCACCTCTGTTTTTACTTTAATAACCCCTTCTTCTGTTAAGGTGCTGGTTTCAATGACAGCGATATCCTCTGCCATAATGTCAGCAAAGATTTTCTGTAAGGATACAAAATCCATTCATAAGAAATATCCTAACTAAAACCTAAGATCTAAAGGTTTCAAATATATATTTTCAATTTTGCTCTGTAGAATTACTATATAATTTAATTCTCTTTCATTTTTATAATTTTCATAATTTTTAAACAATTCACAAAGAGCTCATCTAAAATCATTTAAAACTAAAACAGTTCTGCGACATCAAATTTTGAGCTATCAAGTAAGTGGACTATGTTACCAAATTAGAGAATTTCCTAAGGACTAATTCACCTGAGAAACCATGTTATCCAAAGCAAAAGTAAGTGGAGAAATGAGCGATGCTGAAGCAAATGGAGATATAATAGGTAATTTGGAGATATTTTGGCTTTTTACGATCAGACATAAAACAGAGCACTTTAAACTTTGCAGTCTGTCTGAGCCATCTTCTATGTGTGTTTTATCACACTGCAGTATTTATTTTTCTATTAAGATATTTATTTTGTAAATTTTACTCATGCATATTTTGACATAAAAAAAGACTTGAATACTCTCTACCTCAGATTGTTTAATGTTTCTGCTGTTTGGCAAGTGTTTGTTTTGTTCTTAAAATAAAGAGTTGTTTAATTTACCAATTAAGTTTTACTCAGGAGAAAAAAATCTGCCTTATAATGATTTTACATTTATTGTGATAATTATCGATATCGACTGATATGAAAATTGTGATAATCGTGATAATGTTTTTGGCCATATCGCCTAGCCCTACGTACAAGTCAGACTTGACATCCATCCATCTTCTAACCATTTTATCCAGCAAGCAACGGGTGCAAGGCAGGATACACCCTGGACAGAACACCAGTCCATCACAAGCCACATTCAGACACAGACGGGCGCACTCACGCCAAGGTCAATTTTCCCAGAAGTCAATCAACCTACCAGTATGATTTTGGACTGTAGGAGGAAACAGGAGTACCTGGATGAAACCCCCCAAAAAAACTCCCTCGTCAATGTCAACGCTTCAAAGCGAGTTCGGAAAACACACCTGGTTTTCCTCGGAGAGTTCACCGATCCTCTTCACATCACACTTGTTGGCCACAATGATCAAAGGCTAGAAATCGGGGGGGAAAAAAACGAAACAATTTACAACATCAGTCCCTTTTAAAAAATCACTCTCTCGGTGGAAACCCCACTTCGTTGCTGACCTTGTTTGCAAAAAGAGGCCTAATGTTCCTGAAAAGCTCCAGCTGCTGCTCCAGCGTGTGTCCACACTGTTCGGAGATGTCCATCACGTACAGGACTGCGGCTCGCAGGTGAGCCAGGGCTGTGATGGCCTGCATCTCGATGGTGTTCCTCTCTTCCAGGGGGTGGTCCAGGATTCCTGGAGTATCAACCACCTACAAGACGACACCAGGACAAGTCACATCTTCTGAAGCCATCAAAAGGCTCGCTCAAACCAGCAGAAGCCGTGGTGATTTACCACATACCATCACATGACACCCCCCCCCAATCGAGTTTCAGGGTGTCTACCCATTGATACTTCCATCATGTACAGTTCTCTGAAAATCTGTCTTTTCCAATTGTTACAAGAAGGGGAAATTAGTAAAGAAAGATGAAGAATATTTTCACTAAGCAGCTGTTCTACATGATCTGATGAAGATGTTTAGAGCTACCTGCTGTGGAAAGCTTTTTTCCCCATACAATTAAGGGAAATTGGCAATTTATCTTTGTTAAAAAGCAATCTTGATACTTAAAAACACTTTGGTTAAAGTATTTCTAGTAAGAAATTACCAGTATGAGTAATTCTGTGCGAAAGGTATGTATAACGTTATAAAATTAACAGCCTCAACACATGGGTAACGCACCTGACAATTCTTGACGACAAAGGTGTCGATACAAACCTCTCCGGCCACATGCATGAAAACTGATGCCCACAAACTTACACATAAGGCTAACACTGATAAATTATGCTTTAAGTAATCCTAAATCATTAAAGTATTTTGGAGTGCACATTTTAGTGTTCACACTAACATATATATATTTATATAAAAAAAGAACAGAGTTTATTCACTTCCCTACTACAAAAGAATCTGGGAAAGCTCAATACAACATCATGTGAAATGTTGGGGCACAGGGTGAGAAACAGTTCAGAAGATCCAGGATATGAATTGCCTAAGATTTAAGGAAAGCAATGAGCCACAAGTTTCACAACTGGCATGTGGTACTTCTAACTTAAGCTCTTCAAACTTTTCAACAGGGTTTTTAACTTGCTCTGTACCTGTGTGTAACGAAACTCCAAACTTACCATCCCCCATAAACAAGTTTTTATCAGAGATCTCAGAAGCACCCTTACCTGCCAGCGCAAGTACTTGTAATCCATGTGACCAACAAACAGAGACTTTGTGGTAAATGCATATGGTTGCACTTCAACATCTGCTCTGGTGACCTGTAAAACATTAAACAGGTATCTTAAGCCATCAACAAACACCATACATGTACAATAAGACCAACAGTTGCATCTCCCACCCAATGAAATTAATTGCTCTTAATATTTTACTAGCTAAATGTTTGGCTGACATTTTTTTTTACTTTTTAATACTTATGGCACGCAGGCAAAATATATTGAGTTACATGTCTGTAGACAAACTCTACTTAAGACATTTACCAAACATTTTACTAAGTGTTTAGCTGGGATTTCAGAATATACAGAGATGTAGGGTCTCTGATGTAACTGAAGTGAAGTGAATGTTCCACACAAGCTACTATGACACAGTTCTCAATCACACTTGGAAAACTGTGTTTTGAGAATTCTGTGATGTTAGTAATATAGTGAAATATAATGGTTCAAAGATGTGCAGCACATTGTATACTAAAAACTCTTAAAATATTAAAAGAAAATAGATGTCTGAAGCTTTAAGAATTGAAGCAATAGAACAAGACCATGCATTTCAATTAATTTACTAATTAAGGCAGACGTGGCACTCATGTCTCTAAATGAAAGAAGCAAATGTCTACAATATTCACCTTGTTAATGAAGCTCGACTTCCCAACATTTGGATATCCACAGAGTAAAAGAGTCCTGGTGTTCGGATCAATGGTTGGTAAACGGGAAAGATGCTGACGCACTGAAAGACAAATTACGTTCAGAAACACGCATGAGCACAATATAATTATAAATCTAATTGTGGTGTTCAGGAAAAAAGGATTGCTTGAACCAATTTAAAAGCCCTGAAGATGTAAAACTAATGAATCGTTAAATACAATATGCTCTATTATTTCTAGCAATATTAATATTTCACTTTTAGCACACGACAGCACAACTATGTTTCATACAAAGGCGCCAACAATACTCCCCAGTAGATTTTAGACAGAGCTTTTCTGTCATTAGGTGATTTTGTTATAAACAGTCACAGCTGCTGATGCCTCATCATGCTGCACACAACTTTGCATTTTGATAATACATTTCTTTGTACACAACCTTCGAAATCAGTGTACCTGAGAAGCATTAGATCTGTAACTGAAAACGTAGAAATAATTTTAAAGGTTCATAGAAAGTAAAGTGTGGAAATACCAAAAATAAAAGGCCAGGCCATTTGTTTGGGCAAGTGGAATCAAAACTGGCACATAATGACTCTGTCACTCAATTCTAACTGTGCTGGATAATTTGATGGATAATCTGAAAAGCTTTACCTTGCTCCAAGTATTCCAAGCTTTGTTTCTGTCGCTTCAAGATAGTACACATTCGTCCAAGAGCAGCCCGTTTAAGCTGCTTGCAGCGATAAAGAGAATCCCCATACTTCATAAGACGGACATAGTCTTTGGCAACACTAAGACAAACAACAGAAACTGATATAATTGTTTTCTCGATACATATATGTGAGTTTTTATACATTTCTAAATATCAGTTTATCTTTTAATGTATAAAAATGTATGCTGAATAAAGGTCCCCAAATAAGGAAGACAACATATCATAAAAAAACAAACATTAGAGTCTTAATATCAAAATTCACCTATTGTCCTGATGCACAGATGTTAACAAAGAGAGACTGTTGTTTTGGGCGCGAGAGAGATATAAGCGCGAGAGATATACTCTTGTTGTGCCACTCTGTCTTAAAATAATCTCTTTTCGGAATGAATGTAATTCTCAAAGAGGAAAATATGCTGTTTAATATTATACAAAAACGAACATCCAGGTTAGCATGTTAGACACACACCTGCAGGATTGTGAAGAAACTAAGATAGAAAATAAGATTTTCTTCATTTTAAATCTATTAATATTTTATGTTTTTCCACAGAAAGTGGAATCATACAGAGGACCCAAGATCTGAACTAAATATCCCACTGCCACAAAAAGTACTATCAACAGCCTTAAGAAGATTCCTAATCAAAGTACATGGTTTCTTACTTGTCAATGAGATTCTTAGCTATGTTAATCTGTCCCAAAGCCAGCTTGTAATGATCTTTGTCGTACAAAACATTCATCAAGTCGGCATAAAAAGGATGGATATCCTAAAGCCAAGAAAGACAACAGTTAAAAGCATTTCAATGCAATTGCAGTCAAGATAATGTGTTATATCATTATGTTAGATTATATGCATAAACGTACTTAAATTTCTCCTTATGTAATCCTTCAATTTAAGGCAAAAAGCAGTTTAAAACTTTAAATCAAGTGAAAACAAAATAAGTCGTACATTCATGTTAGACATGTTTAGCACTTAAAAAAACATAACTAACACCATTAGTTATTGAATGTATAGAAATAAGACTTACATCCAGTTTGGGAAAATCAGTCAGGATCTGGGAGAGTCTGTCATGGTAGTTCTGCTGGGTGAATTTCACTTTTCTCATGTAAAAATGACGAATACGATGGATCTGATAGTGCTTATGGATAACTGTAGGAGTCTTCCTTTGTGTTTTTGACAATGTGATATCTATGAAGTCCTAAGGAAAATATTTAGTGATTAGCGTTACTCTGCTTGCTCCGATTTTACCCCCCAAAAAAGAGAAAAATGGTCAGACATTGGTCCAGTACAAGGCAAATATCACCCATACATTAGACACCGTGCAACAAAAAAAAACACACAAGAATAAGCATTTAATCGTAAAATCAAAATGTTCACAAGGTGATACTCGTCCGCGAACCCCACATTTACGCTTGTCAATCTCAACAATAACTTTATCATCGCCATGTACATAAAAATAACTTGTCAAACCAAGAAAGGTGGTTAAACATAACATTCTGAAGCAGTTATTCGGTATCGATTAATTCGGTATCGATATCGGCTCCTCATCTTGCGCTGTTTAAATACTTTCAGGAGACACGTGTCCTTGCTCACAGGCTGAGACCACTGAGCCCGATCGTGTTAAACAGATTGATTTCTCTTTTTCAGACCGCCTGCTAACCTACAGCACTACCGCTAGACTTATCCAAATCAGAATGATGCTGTATGAAACAGGTCCGTTAACTACCTTTGCGGTGGGAACCACCATAATCTTCTTAAAGTTGTAGAGAGCCATCTTTCCACACCGCGAAGCACACTTCTCCTCCAGAGGATGCCGCGTGAGGCTACCCGGAAGACTCGCCCAGTGATGTCAACAACTCTGCCTGAGCAAGAGGGTGTCCTTCAACGAAAATGCAGGCAACTGTTTCTCCACACTGCCATCTCTAGTCGAGATTTATATTTGCAGCGTTAGCAGTCTGTGGGTTTTATCAACAAAATAAAATATCTTTTTCTTAAGGTATTTTTTTAATCTTCAGAGTATGCTCATGAAAATATCAAAAGTAAGGCTGAATACTGTCTATGTGACGGTCCATCTTGACATCTTTGACTGCAAGGCATCCTGACAGACTGTTCAAAAAATAAAATGATTCTTTCAAAGGGACGTGTCTCGTTGGTGAAGGGATTGTTTTACAGATATTTTTATAAACAGCCACAATTAAACTGATGACGTTAAAAGAGACAACAGCATTTCAGCATTTGAATTTAGCTTTTCAGGTTTTCTAAACGTTTACATAGCAAATGTGTCAGTGAGAGATGATTTCACACATTTCTGGAGAACTTTCTTTTGCAGTGTTAAATTCTGTTCTTAAAGATCAATTTCATTTTTGAAAATCAATAAGGCTATTTTTTTCTCTATTAGCTATGTTTCAGTATTGTCTGAGGTACATACCATTTATTTTGACTGGACATGTAGATGTACTGACCAGGAAAGGATGCAATGCAGACTTGCTGACAATGATGCCTGAGAATCTTGTTAAAGGTCTAGGGAGAGGGTATAAAATAGAATCACGGCCCACACAGTAAGAGATCATGGAGGGTAACAAGACCAATTTTATTTGGGAGAGTTTAGACAACAGGAAGCTCCAGGATTCAAGAGCAAGGGAGACATAATGTTCCCATGGCAAACTTCAACATGCCAGCAGCCCCACTGCATGGCAGTTCTGGAAGGGAGGTGAGAAATTACTTCACTTAATTAAGGGAGAGCAGCAGACCAGATTGTGCAGGGCAAAAGTGGAATTGAGCAGACAGGGACTGGCAAATGAGAATGTTGGACATTGAAGAATGCCAGATTGACTCACCTAGCGTTGACACAAATGACCTTCAACCTAACATACTGTAACGCTCAGGGGTTCACATGGACACCCTCGCCGCTGCCGCATCAGGTCGGCCCCCAACCGTCAGGGACTCAAACCCAGGCCTCCGGCATCACTCAATGGGGACCCAGCCTCTTGAGCCAAAGGGAAATCTCCCATCAGCCCGGCGGCTGTGGTCCCTGCTATTCACAGGGAAGGGCAGTGACGTCACTGCAATGGTAAGCCAGCTCTCACAGTCAATGGAGGCCGTATGCGTTACAATACTGTTATGCCTGGTTCTTGGTTAAGTTCCCAGACTTTACCATGCCTGTAAAGTATATGAGACTCTGATTTGATGACTTGGCAACTGATGTAGAATAGAACGGTTGGCCAGTTTGGGCCAGTTTAAGTATATCCAGTGGAAGTGTGATGTTGTGAGGCGTTGTGGGTCACTCCATGACCCTGTTTGTCAGAAACACTGGATTGTTTTGGACAGAATCTCAGCACTCACTGAACAGCCTACCACAGAGCTGTCCAATCTAGGTCATGGGGGTGGGGCAGTGTGTGCTAACTAAAACAATTTGTTCAGTGCTTTCTGCTGCTGTAGATGTGCTTGGGTCTCTCACAATCCATCTTTCTCTCCGTCCTGTTCTGAGTATCATCTCCGTGAGCTGGATGAACTACAGCTGTGACTCAGGTGCAGAACAGAATATTAAGGGTAAAACTGACCAGAAATTTTCACTTTGTCTGAAGATCAGTCAGTAAAGGTGCCCAAATAAAGCCAGCTGCCACCAGGTCAGCTTTGGCCTCCAGGGGTTCGACAGTGACTTTGCAGCTTTGCAGGTAAAATCCCCAAAACTTCAGCCCAGGCCAGGACCACCCTGAAAAGATTAGTAAATAATTTTGTACTTGCATTTACATTGAGCTTTTATGGAAGATTCCATACCGCTTTACACATAGGAAGGGACCGACTTCATCAGTCACTGAGTTAAGATTACTGTTGAACGGTCATGCCCTTACATTCCACAAAGTGTGAAGATCTGACTTGCCCATTTAAAGGTTGAGCAAACAACTGCGTGTGTGTTACAATTTCTGTAGAAATACATAATATTAAAGGGAAAACAATTTATGAAACAAATCCGCCGTGCTGCGTTTATTGCAAAGAAAAGAACCCTGCCACATTAAAAATGAGCATCCTTGACATAAAGATAGTACACATGTAATAAAATGAATAAATCATAAACAACATCTGTCGCATACATATGTGGGAATTTGGCTGTATGTACCAGTCCAGGGTCTGGTGCAGATGGTCCTGCAAAAGTGAGTATTTTACAATACAATCAGAGAAATTCTGACAATTACAAAATTTTAACACACATTGGAATACCCACACAGTATTTGAATGTTGAGTCAGCTCTCCATCCTCTTTTAAGTGTAAAAAGGTTCATTTATTTTAGCTTGTCAGTGTGGAACATTCCTTTAAGTTCAGTTCCCAGTATGCAAAATTGGCACAGGCCTATTCAAAAAGACTTACATCTCTAACTGCTGCCAAAGGTGCAAGCATTTCTTAAAGATCTAGATTTGGATTTATACTCCCACTTTTTGCTGACATTTTACTTTCATCCCTAAAATTGTGTTTGAGCACAGAAGAATTGATTAAAAAAAGTTCTCTTTTAAAAAATGTATGTACATCATTTATTAATTCAACAAACCTCTGCTTCCTTCACACATTAAATCTTCAATCCATTATACTGCATTGAACTATAATTAAGAGTGTCTTAGTGTTCAGTTTAGGCATCAATCCCTTTCAGTTTATGAAAGTCCTTATCAATTTGACTTCTCTTAAAGTATTTTAAAATTATGAGGCCACATATATTATTATTATTATTATTATTATTATTATTATTATTATTATTGTTGTTGTTGTGGTTGTTGATGTTGTTTTCAAAACAAAAATACACACCACTATCTCAGGGTTGAGAGTAAGTGCGTCAGAAGACACACCCTAGGTTCAGACAGACCACTGTCTGAAAATCCAGGCTTCACATTAATACATCTGTAGGAGGGAACAGAGACAGGCTGTCTGACTGACATTTGCTCTACAACCTCATCTAAAAAACAGTGCAAAATTATTGCCTTGGTATCTTCCTCCCCCATCTTCAGTGGCCTGACTCAAAACTGATCAGATGATCTAGCTTTTCAGTGTTTACCATCCTAAATGCCTACATGGGAAGCAAAACCCATTTAACCTATTGCAGCCTTGTTTTGACTCACTGTACATGTAAGTGGATTTTATACTTTCACGTGCAGCAAAATGTGTTGCCAAGATTTTGCTTCAGAGTAGCCTGAAGCAGAAGTCTGGATTTCTCCCCAAACCTAAAACACCCCGGGAAATTCTGAAGCCCGTGAGCTGAAGGAGACTCTCTCTCTCACTCTTCAGTCACAGCCCTGGAACACACGCACTGTGGCCAAGTGCTCACAGAACTGGTCTAATTAGGGCGCCACACTCTTTTGTTTCACACAGACAGCCAGCGTTTCACACAGGACAGAACCTCTAAAAACAAACCCGCTAAAACAATTGAATCCAATCCTGCTCACATGGAACCTAAACTGTTCAGTCTAGTTTTTACCAAAATATAATTCCAGCACCAACAGAAATATTACTCACTACGGTAACAATATTCAGACTAGTTCCTCCCCCACATGTACACACACCAGATAGTTAGGGATGATAAACACCTCCCACTGACAACTGAGAATCTTGGCACATTATCTAGCTGCCAATCTAATGGGACCTCAATCCCTTCCAGTCCAGTATTTGACTAAAATAATGTACCACAAGGTCTTTATGTAGTGATGTTCAAACACAGACTCTGCTACACAACATCAGACAGACTGGAAATGGACACTAAGGTAGCTCATGAGCTCAGGTTTGTGCATTAGGTTAGACCTGATGTAGACAGTACTTAAACCTCTGGCAAGGAAGTCATGTGGACAATAATTGAAGAATAATATGGCAGGGTTCTGTGCTTAGTATAAATTATGCATGCTGTGCTCATTTTTTAATTTAGAACGTCATGATTGCAGACAGGAAAGGCCAGAAATATGAGAAGGTTACACTATAATCAATTACATTTACCCACGAAACGGAGGGAGAATATAACCTTAACAGTCTCAACAGCTTACAGCTTGGAGTCTGTGCCTACCGTATGTGTCATAAGGACTTATCAACATGGCACAAGAAAAAGACAAAGTATGCAAGACCACATGTTTCAGAGGTAACTTGTTTCAGGTTTGCAATCTCAGGAGAAAGGTTGCTACCAGGAAGGAGTTTTTGAGTCTATTTGATCTCATCTCTCATTTTGGTCTCTAAGGAGACCAAAATTAAAAGGTGAAATGAGAAGCAGAAAATACTCACTAGGCTGCATATAAATGACCATCTTCATCTCAGCTGCAAATAAGAACACACCCAGACCCAGGTTGTCCTTCAGCTAAATTACTTTTTTAACCACACATCCATCAAAACCTTGAGACAACGTCCTTTCTGGGAGAAACACATGCAGACAGACAGTGACCGGAAATAAATCAGAGCAACAAATGTGTCAATTACAATTCCTAAACCCGGATGCTAAATGACAGCTTTTTGCTGATGTGTAGTAGGAGGCCTGTGGCAAGCAAAATTATTTAAAAATTGTTGGACTACATGCATTTCTTTAGAAATTGAGTCACTAAATTGATCTTTATTACTTTTAAAATTGTATTAACAATAAATTATTTAAGTCTGAAGTCCTATGTAATCTTAATCATTTTTTCAATCAAAATAAGAACATGAATAATACAATTTTGTTTCTCATCAGTAAGAAATAATAAAACAAAGAGCTAATCTTTAATTGTTAAAGTTTTCTACAACACACTACACTACAGAACGTGTAGTAAACTATGGGAATTATCTGTAAAGTGAATGGAGATGTGGATAGAAAATCACTGTGAAATCAAGTCTGGGCAGAATGTATCAATACACATTGAATGTAATTTTCTGTGCATCTATTTTTAAAAAATAAATAATAATATATCTGCCAAACATATCTGGAATGTTTGAGGTCTCTAGACATGATTTTGAGATTTTTGTTGTCTGTGGATTAGAATCAACTCAGTAATAAATTGTAATGAATTCACATTCATTTACAGGCTGTAAGAAAAATTAAAATGACCTTATAACTATTATTTTGATATAGTTCAGGTGGGTAGCTGTGTTAGCATGCGTAGGCTGCAAAGGAACAAGTAATAGATTTATTGAAAGCGTCTTCACACCTGAAGAAGGCTCCACAGCCGAAATGTTGTGTTTTCTTTCCTCTCTTTTCAGCATGGAATAAACCTATTATTTGTTCCTGTATTATTTTGATATGATCAGTAAAGTGTATGACACAGACACACAAGAAAACAAAAAATGTACAAAGTAAGCAGTTTATTCACTGTTTATTTTCTTTTTCATTGCTAAGTAAGGAATGTCCAACAATTTCTGTCCAAATATACTACTGGTCATTATTGTGTTATCGAGATGTGCTGGTGGAAAAGAACACATTAGTAATCCATGTCTTTAAGGGGTGAGATTATTAATCCCAGAGATTAGGGGGCGAATTCCTTATCATTTGCTGTTATATCAAATTTGCGTCAGTATTGTTATTCAACTCTTATTATTTGATTCAATAACATCATTGTTGTAATTATAACACTCCCAGGTTGTACCAATATTTATCTATTCTGTGTCATTAGTTTAACATACTGTGTTTAGACTGTGCTAAAGGCCACAAACAGAAGAAAAGTACTCTTGTCAGTAATAATACATACACAAGACAGTTTTATGAGGTAATATGCTCAGCAGATATACAAAGTGCTTACATCTGTTTATGTTTGCATAAGGTTGCGACTTCAAGATTTCAAGATCTTTTTCCTGACATCACTAACAGCACAGAAAGAAACAGGAGCTACAGTACAGTCGCTTACCAAACATTAGTGGTGCAACTAATCTCAACAAAAGCAGCTTTTCATTCACCAACGTTTAATACACTTAAGCAGTGGCCCTCTCCAACTCCATCGCTGTTTGGAAGGTGATACAATGCTAATACTCATTGCGCCATAGCATATCAGATGAATTACAAGTACTACAAGGTACAGTTCCTTGCACCCAGGAACAGTCTGGTGTTTCATTTTAAATGCTAATAAAAGTGACAGAAACTATTATTATCTATACAGGAACTGCAGCAAAAGAACATTTAACAAACATTGTCACCAAAAACCATGTTGAAGACATAAAAATGCTTTTCTTTGATCTTCTGAAATAAGTAATGTATGTCCTAATCTGAACAATATATTCTGGGGTCATGTCACTTCTGTGGTGTTGGCAATTTGCAGCCTCCATGCTCAGCCACTCTAAGCATGATGTCATCCCAGCAATGCACATATCCTGGAGCTTGGGGTTTACTTTTCCTTTAATAAAACACATTTAATTAATTTTCTTTCCATACTTATTATAAATGTAAGCAGATGTTTAATTATACAGAATTATATGAATAATGCAGGTGATCTTATTTCTGTAACACACAAATTTTAATTAATTACTTAATTTACAACAAATCTTAATTATTATGTGCTTCAGTTAAGCAGTACTGTAAACTTAAACATATATCACTGTCAAATATAGTTTAGCAATGTATTCTAATAAATTAGTAAATATCTAATTCACTAGGAAGGATGATCTAATTCACTAGAAGGATGTTCCCAATACCCATGTGGTTAATCAATCACGATTCACTTCTATTAAATTTTCAAGTATGTCCTCCGACTACCGAATTAAATTTAGAGAATGCAGTCAGTTTTTAAGTTTAAAAATGCACTTTTGACACTCCCTATATGGAGATATTGTTTAGAAATGGAGAAGTTGTTTAGAAATGGTCTCTAATGTGCTGTAGATCGCAAATGAAAAATGTGTTAACATTTAGGTTTGGTTTAAGTTAAATACTAGGTTATGAGCATGATTTACACTGATTTTTTTTCCAGCCATGAAAAGGTAGTTTTAATCAGATATGACTGAGGAGTTTGAACTACTGAACATTTGAGAATGCTTTAAGCTTAAAGCATAGAAAAGGATTGTGAATTGCATGCATTATTTTGACATTAGGGACCACATCAATGCTTTATATCAATTTGAATTACACATTGTCTGTCTCCAAATGTATGTTAACAGTTGTGAAATGTCTTTTAGAATAAATACAATTTTACTGGAATTTAATATGTTTAATATAACTTTAATATAAGTTTATTAAAGTAATTTACGATCAATCCATGTACAGTACATACCATTGTTGAAGGGGCATCTTGTTTTGAAATTTTAATCACAACCCAAACTCCAGATTATAATGCAGTATTTTAACCATATAATAACAATTAAAAAAACATTTTTAAAATAAATGTACACTAATATCAGTTTTAGGTAACTATAAAGAATTATTAGACAAAACGAATTAATATTTGTTTTCGTTACCTTGGTTATATTTTTCAAAACTAGGCTGTTGTTTTTCAAAACTCTTAACAGCTGCATCGAACTGCATCAATGCAGTATTTAGGGGATTTTTAATCTTCTCTGGCTGAAGCATCCCGTTTTTTTTAAAAAAAAAAACTTTACAGGGATCCCCAATTTATTTTTAACATCCCCTCAACTACAGTGACCCCTGGTTAAACCCAGGGAAAGACCGCAAGAGCAGGTTCTCGCCCGAGGAGCTAGGTCTGCTGTATTTAAAATAAAAACAGCAACAGTAATATGTAGTTTTATGGCCGGCAGGCGGTTAGGAAATCAAACATAAACATCACAGCGTGGTGGGCTTTGAAAGAAGCGCAGCATCTTTAATAAAGTTTTCACTGTAGATGAGAGAACGGAGGGAGGCGGATCAAGCGCTCCGTCACCGTGAGTACGCCGAATCCACCCGAAGCGCGCAGCCAATCCCCACGCCGGCCCCCTGATCACGAGTGGCGCTCGGGGGGCGGTCAGCATCAGCCAACCGCGCTGGCAGGCTGCGGGGCAGGGAGGCGGGAGTTCCTGGAGCCGTGGCTGTGCGGTGGTCGCTGCGCCCCGAGTGGGAGAGGAGAAGGCTGAGCTCGTCGCTCCGCTGGTGCCGAACTGCAGCCCGACCGGGAAGAGCCGAAGCGTCGCGCGTCTCCGCCTTTCAGCCACAACAGCCCGCCGGCCAGCGGGGAGCTGCAGCGACGAGCTGGTTGCCTCCCCCCCCCTTTTTGTTTTTTAGTTTTGTTTGGGTTCTGTCTCGTGAAATCGACCCTGCGCGTAAAAAAAGGAGGAGAAAAAATAAGTTAAAACTTCCAAATTGGTGTTTATTTGCCCCCCTTTTTTTTGTGCAAGACCGGCATTTTGAAATCCCGGATCTATTTTGAAAATAAACAGAACCTTGATCACTCCCCTAACACCCCCCCACCACCACCACCACCACCACCATCGCCAGCACACACACACCCCCCCCTTCCTTCCTTCTTCGCCGTAATTTTGTTTTTCATTAGAAAAAAAAAATCGTTTGGATTTGGCTACACCAAGTGAAAACAGCGTGAAGCGAGGCGGCCCACACTCGAAGCGGCGCTGTGCCAGTGAGAGTCGACAGGTGAGTAAGCGCCTCTTCCTCGTCCGGGAAAAGATCGTACAGCTGCATTTTCTCTTCTGGTATGTTTTTTTTTTCTTCTTCTTCTTCTCTCTCACTCGTAACTTTCAATTTAGCTGCGCCCGCCTGGCGTGCGGTTCAAGATCCGTTACGCCGCCATCGGGAAAAGAGTGGCCTGTAAATTAGCTTGGGAGGATCGGTGTGGCAGCGAAAAGGTGTTTAAAGGATTGTGGAAAATACAGCCCGTCAGATCGCCCTCTCTTTCGGGATTTTCCTCGCCTTTTTAGCGGAGAAGGGTAGGAAGAAAGGCCGTCCTGGATGCGCTTCACAACTGGGGAAATGCAGTAACAACGACAGGCAGAAAGGTCTCATTTTCTGTGTATCTTCACGAAGCGGGGCCTGGTTATGGGATGGTATGGTACAGTCTTGGACTGCAAATGGGATGATAATATCACGGAGGTCGCCATCTTTCACAGGATGCTCCTGCAGTTCAGTGTTTCTGTGCATTAGCGCTCGGTATCGTGAAGTGAGAGATTTTGCAGTTGCGCTTTTCGTACATGAACCGAGTACATGGATGGTGTTAACGTTAATATGCATGCATGTGTATGAGCTGAATAATGTGTTATTTCTTTTCCTGTGCATTCGGTAGATGCGGAGCTGGTGTGCTATTCATGTGCGGTTACTATTTTTTTTTTGCTTTTGAATGGGGGTTATTTTTCCTTAAGAGTGCAGTGACAGATGTCTGACAAGTTCGTTAACCCCTCCAGCGCAAAACGTTACGCTCTTTAATTACTCACCTGGCATGCTCAGGTTATAATTTGAAAAATAACTTGACTTTGCCAACTACAATCCTGGCGGCAGCAACTTCGGTGTCATAGTACCTGTTGGCTGTGGGTTTAGCTAGTTAGCTGCGTGTACGTGTTGACGGAGACCAATTGTCAGCCGTTTAAAGTACACTTAACTGTTGCTTTGAAAGGGACTAGTTCATAATTTTGATTTCGGCGACAAATGTCACAACCTAAATTGTGGCTCGTCAACCGAAACCCGAAAAGTGCAACTGCGAGACTCTGCCGTCATCTTGTTTACAGATGAACCTGAGCATTTTGTTGTTCTCTTCGCCCCTTGTTTTGTTATATGGCCCCGGTATTTCATGGTCCAACCTAACGTGGTGAGCTCAAGCCAAACTCCAAAGGGCCATGCGTTGGTTTGTTTGTGGTGCGAGTTGTCGAGCCTTGTTCATACCGACAATTCAGAAGTCGTGTAGGTGGGTGGGAAATCACTTTACTGCTCGCAACTCCAAGCGTTGGCTCTGAAATTGTGTGGAGACGCAGGTGACATTTGTTTGTGTTGGGCACAGCCTATGACAATAGGAAGCCTGTTTCATGCTCCAGTGGTTAAATTCTCACTTTGTGTGGTTTCTGGCCTAGTGTGTCAGCAATAGACAAAGCTGTGTCAGCTACTAACAGGCCCGCACTGCGTCTCTGGCTGCCTGTTAAATGCAATGTAGCAAGGAAGTTTGTGAATTTACCATTGAGCAACTCCAGTGTATTGATCTACTGGTGGGCTTTATTCACATTTAGGAAACAATATGTGATATCTTAAATTCTAAGACGGTTGTTCATGACATTTTGCTACACCAAGTTTGGCCTGTATTTTTGGAGTAGGGATAGGCTCAGGTCTAGGCTATTTTGTTCCAAACCTGTTTTACATCTTTTAATGCAGGTGATCAAACCTTCAGTAATATTTATACATATTTTTATAAAAAAATATTAAAATAAAACTAGTTCAGAATTCCTTTTTTGAATTCAATTCAAACACATCTTCTGAAAATTGTTTTCTGAAGATGTTTTCAAAATTTCATAGTAACTTGAAATTACAGAAATCATTTGTCATTTGCTTGTTAGGCCATCATAAAAGACTGATTTATCTTTTCATCTGTACTTATGAAATGTCTGTTACATTATTGATTTTGTTACAAACTAATAATTTGATCATTTTTTGGAATGTCATTTTAAGATCTAGTTGTCTCAAGAAACAAACCTACCATGAAAGTTAATATGGAAGATTTGCACAACTTAACTGTACTTGCCTTTTATCAACATGGCATTTAAAAATTAAAACCATCAAAAGCGGCAATATTATTTGTTAATACTTTAAGAAACTTTAGTGTGAATTGTTGCTTAATGAAAATAATATAGAATGATCTTGAAATGCACAAAGTTCTCAAAACAAAACCGAATTGAGAACAGCTAAGTGCTTTCTTACAATTTAATAAATGCTAATGCATTAGCCATCTGAAAAGAAAATTACATAACTGTACAAGGTTCATTTCAGGATTTTGCAATCTTATTCAATCTGAGACAAAGATCAACACTTTTTCAAGGGAAGATCTGTATTAGAAACATCATATTCTGTTCTAGTTTACTTCACATTTGATTAGTTTGCTTTTTAAAGGATTTTGAACCACTTTAAATGGGACTGAAAACTAGTAGAAGGAGGTTTTAAATCTCAAAGCAGTTGCTTCCTTGAATTGGATCTGGAAATAATTGTCCACTGCATAATTAGAAATGTACCTAAATGAAGTCTAGCTGAGTTGCAAAAATGAAAAATAATGAATGAAAGATTTGATTATGTGAGTCACACTTTTTGCAGCATGTTAGAGATGGTCATAAATGAGTAACTTTAAATGATCAGATTTGTGGTTTCTGAAATCTGATGCCAGTGCAGCCCTTGTTTGTTCTAACCTTTTGAAAGTTTTTAAAATAGTGCAATCCAAGAGAAATGAGAAGTATGTATTTGATCTGTAGTTGTCTGGAAATGACCAGTGAAGGTGTTCATCCAGAGGACAGGTTGAGACCAAAAGCTCATTTCTTCTGGACACTTTGAGGTGTAGAACTCTGCTGGACAGATTAGCTGGGGAGAATTTCTGCTACGTTTTCCCTAGATGCAGCTCAATAAGCAGTTATTGCCCTACATCTCAGGTCAGACAGGTTTCTAACATGCAAACATGGTCATAATTGACTAAGATTAATTACTAATTCGGTGAGAAAAAGAAACTAAGAACTGTACACATAAAACGATAAGCCCTAATAGGTGGCATCCAGCAATGGCAACAAAAGTGCTAAATTTGGTTTTCTTAGATACATTCGTGTTTGTTTTGGCAATTTGATCAAATGTACAGCTGTGAATTTCTGTTAATTTGGATTAACTCTCTAGTTGTTACATTTTAAAACACAGTGGCACACAAAATAAAACAGCTAAGCTATGTGGACAAGAATACTAAATCAGTATCAACATTAAGTGAACGTATGCTCTTTATCGCTTCAAATATACATTATACACCTTGTACATATCTTATAAATATAAGGCAGTCAAAAAATATTTAGATTAAAATACACTAGAAACTTGGTAAAAGTTTAATAATGGGATAAGCAATGCACACTGTATAAAAAAAGATGAAGTGAAGAAGCTTTTACCTGCACTAGATGGTACACGTTGAGTACAGACTAACATATATGCAAACAGACTGTGTAAAAACATAAGAGTGGTTACAAATGTGAGGAGGTCATTCCACCCATCTAGCCTGTTCGGTAGTTAGTGGTTTATTGATCCAATAAGAAATTAGAACACTAGTTTGGGCCATGCTGAGGTCCCCATTAGAAACTTATTTAACCCCAACTGTCTGTCTGAGTGTACCTCAAAGTAGTTTGGGGAAATAAGGTATAAAATATTCCAGACTTGACCAGTTTGGGTCTGGGCCATGACATGTGAGATTGGGATTCCCCAAGTGTTGGCACAGAATTGGCTGAGCACTGTTGGATTTGGGCTGGCCTGAGTGGAAGGGGTTATCTTCAGTTTATCTTCCAAGAACA